GGAATAAGGCATTACTGTCTCATTCCTGATGCGGCTGCGCACAGCAGGTGCCTTTTGAGCAGCACCGGGCTCTTTGGTTTTAAAAGTATTTCGACTGTATTGGATAATGCGCCGGCGGCAACGGTCAACCGTTGGGCGATCGGAGTGTGCGGTTTTTGGGGCCGACCTTTTCTAACCCGTCCTTCCTCAGGGGAAGGCAGATCGCTGTTTCGTCAAGGTGGCAGCTTTAGGTCGGGAGAGTAGTTGGTCCGTTGGAGAACACCAGAAATTTCTTTCCCTTTATTCGCGTGAATAAAGGAACACAACACGGCCCTCAGGAGACATGACCCCCTGTCCTTTATTCCATACACGAAGACCAAGAAGGCCAGAAATTCAATCTGGGAAACGCAAAAAAAATTTGCATACGGGGACACGAGACACGGAATGGAATTTCTGGAAGCATTGTGCTCCATGACAGGTTCGATCAACCGGTGAATCGAACTGAATCCGATTTACGCGTGCAAAAGACCAACCAGAACACTCAATGAGGCTGAATATTGCATTCACAAAGAAAGAAACAAGGAACACCTTGAAACTCGGAAGGACAAAGGTCACTCCGGCATCTACCAGATTACGACGGCAGGGGATGCCAAGCTCAAAGGTCACGTGGGCATCGGCGAATGAGGACACAAGATAACAGAGCAACCAATGGAGCCGCCCGACCTAATCGCGATCAAAGGTCATCGCCGGCTAGTAGCACGTACATTAACACACACGTAACATTATTCAGCGCGCAACCACTAACCCACCGCTACGCTCCCCCATAACGCACTGATGACGTCACCTCGATTGGTGATGAAACGCTTGCAATCAAATTGTCCAGCTCAGCGAACAAGCCAAAGACCATCTATGCTACATGAGCTACCAACATCTTTCTCTATATATGACCCAATATTGTCCGAATGCCGGTTGCCAATGGCGGATCAAGAAGGGGTCAGAATTTCCAGAAAGTTATTGCCACTTACGCTATATATATGAAGCGCTGTGCAAGTGCTTTTGGCTTGGTTTTGGGCGTTAATATACCTTGTGCACCTTTGGTGATTCTTTAGACGTGAACACTAGCTTGGGAGGCTCAGACCGAGAACTAAGCTGAGGAAAATACCGTTACTACAATTAGCGAACGGGAACCCACGATGTCAATCGAATTTGATCAGCTTCGAGAACTAGCAGCACCTGACTGCGAGCGGTGAAGCCGGATGCGTGTGGAATTCCACCTAACAGATGCAGAAATACATACGTGTTTATGGGCGATTATTGGTCAGCACTGCACAAGGTTAACTTGTGTACATTGTTTTCATCCAAGGATGACCATAAATCCGGACCCTTCATAGACCAAAACTACATCCTGTGCCACTTTGGAGCATTTCTTTACTTTATAAACCTGATGCACTGCTCTTAATGTCGCTGAAAACTCTTTGACATCAATCTTATGAGTAGTCTGTTAGATTTATACAATGTATCGCGATATCCCAAATGTTGTGCCGATTGAAACATGAGGCGGCCCGGTGCATCACATTCAGTTGCTTAAGAACATCATAAACGAGAGATTCAGCTGGGTTCCAGGCGTCTTCCATAAAAAACAAATTGGTATGCAAATGAGCATGTTTCGCTAATTTCTTTAATTTTGTTGGCTGTGATGTACAAGCCCCTTTCTCGTTAGAAGACTTGGGTAATTCCGAACCGTCCGTGTGCTTAGAACAGATGCACCCCTATTGCTCTAATTTGTTTCACGAAAACTGCAGTCGTGTGCTTTGGTTTCTGTAGCCATGATATTCATTCAATCCAATACGAAGTTGCTTGCAGTTTAGCCGATGAATACACTACACTATCTAGTTTAATATGTTTAACCAACGTCAAGTGGGCAGACATGATTGTACAAGTAGTCAGATCAACTACCTTAATTATTTTCGACTTACTTCATCAGTGGGCGGTTTGTTTTACTTTTGAAATGGCATTCACATTTGACTAATCGATGAGTTAAAGTTATGAGTGTCGTATCGCAAAGCACATGCTTCACGAAACGAGAATGCCTTTGCGTGTGTCCAAAGGGGGGTGAGTGGATACGATAGGAGTATTTACGCCGTCTTACTCAAGCAGGGGACCTAAACACTTGGAACCAACTGGTAGCATGCAGCAGCAGCATCATTAACAGCAGTGCACCACTACTACACACTGCGGTTAACTGCCATTAGTATAAAAGAAACCGTTCAGCTGTAGCACCCATTCGGTGCCTAGCTGCCATGCCACCAGAAGGAAGCACGAGGGCTGGGATACTGCCAGGTTGCCCAAGCCTAGACAGGGGAAGTCGAGAGGCAGAGGTCGGGTTCGAACCACGGACCTTCCGGTCGGTAAATTGGCGCTCTAACCACTTGGACCATTTCGCATTACATACTAGAAAGAAGTACGAATACGGGCGGAACGCGGGTGCGAACGGATATAAGTTTTCACATCTGGAGTCCCACCAAAAACCCCTGAAAATCCCTTTTTTGTAAGTATAACGGGTCATTCAAATCGGTTAATCTTCACATCATACACAAGTTGCTGCTAACTGCTAGAGATGTCATGGATTTTTGTACAAATCAGATCTTCAACCACATAAACTCCAAGTAGGAATTAAGGGACCTAAGGTCACAACGTGGGGTTCCGTCTCCGTGAATCATCTGACCTGTTCCTAATACAAACGTTGATACAAAATTTAAGAACAATAAATAAAAAATCTTAATTGGTCATAACCATATGATGTCAGAGTACCGGTCTAGTTCCAACAAGGACTCCTGAGCTAGATCGAGAGGAAACTAGCATACAACACGCTCCATGTCTCCCACTGTTATTCAAATGGGCTGTTTGGATGTCAGAGACGGGTGTGCGTGATTGTAAGCCCTCCATAAGTCCCGCGACTTGCTCTTATGATAATTTTGTCCTAGCCAGTCGTTCTTTCCTTACGACGGTATGTCAGTATTACCTTTAATAATGCCGCTTGATGTGCCCTCAATGGTTTCCTGGCTCATATTTCCGGTAGGGAGCGCTCTATTTCTCGTGATGGGAAGTTGCGAGAACTACTTAGTAGTTGGTTTCTACTCAGCTGCGACGATCCTGGATATTCGCGCGCAAGATTTACCCCTTACTGCAACTTGACAATACATGAGCGGCTCGACATAGAAGCCATTTACAGCGATGCACCACTACCCAACTGCGCACTGATGAGGTCATCTTGACTTGCGGTGAAACGTGTGCAACAAAGCTGCCACGCTCCGAAAACAACTCAAGCATCAAATAAATGAGTCGCCAGTTGGATTGCGTGAAGCTGTTGAGTATAAGCAACACGCTGGAACTGTGAGTTCCAGGTGAAAACAATGGTGTAGTTTTGGGAAGCACACCTAAGGACCGTGAGCGTTTGAATTCCTAGACATTCGTTGCACATGAACCATGAGTTGAGTAACAAAGCCTCGATGATATAACGGAGGACTGCTTTACTTGTCATCGGGGAGCGCGTATGTCCGTAGCCTTGTGAAACACTAGCTACGATGAAATTTAACTGTCCTTAAGTAACTATCTGCATACTTCGAATGTTTAAACTGGACGTTGATGCGACCAGGAGTTTTTTGGTCATTTTTAAAGAAACGGGTAAGTGTACTAAGGCAACGCATCGCTTAGAAAAGGCTGAACGACTAAATCGAAGTTAACAAATAACAAAGAGATGTGTTGTAGTAGTTCAATAACAACAAAAAAGACTCATTCTGGCTAACTGTGGAAACAATCCTTGAATTGCGTTAATAAATGTGGGGTGGGTTATCCTCCTCCAGAATGCACGATAACAAGCAAGGATGACCGTGATGTAAGTTCGCCTAAACGTGCCACGGCACTTAGTAGCGAGCACTCTCGCCCGTAATCAGATAGGTTGTCTTTCTTAAAGATGGAACAGGATGATTTGTACTAGTAGAGCAAAGGCTGGAGAAACACCTAGTTGATTCAACTGTCGCGTAAAACTGGCTAGTAAGCTGAACCCCTCTAAAAAGAATCGTCTAACCCAGAAGGAAATTTAGTATGGTCTCCGTTGGGAAGACTCTCTGCCACTATAAGCCAGTTCTTATTCCCACTTTCCACAATATCCGACGTACCCTCCCTTTACTTTCGGAAAGTGCGAATGAGTGAGATTTTGATGTGTCCATTTTATCCCCAGGGAAAACCAATATTGCACGAGAGAGAGGATTTAACATCTGCCTAACGCGTGTTTTAACATTCAACACTCCTATTTTCTCCTTAACCACTCAGCAACTCTGGCTTTGTTTTCCAAATTTTAGCTCAATTGGCTGTCTTCATATAATATTTCCCTTCTTTTTCGTTACAGCGGTCTCTCACAGATCCCTCGTATTCTGATTTCGAAATCCAGCCAATCATTTTCCATATCAAAACCATCCGACATTTATTTGTAAATATAAAGATAATGGAAAACTGTTTTACAGGCTTTTTCAGAAGCGGTGGACCCCAGTCTCTCCACAGGACAATATCGTACAAAGGATTCTCAGCGAACGAAGTATGAAAAGCAGGGAGGTAGGGCCCTCTTCAACACCACAAGATCAATCGAGGGGTAGGAAAACAAACCGGTAGGATGGATAGATGGGCTGGTGCCCGTTTGACTCTAGACTTGACCGTTAATCGGAAGCTCATATGTTGCTCCAGGCGGCAATCACAGAAAACAACCCAGTTTGTTTACATGAAGTCGTCATATTCGTCCGGTTCAATGTTATCCTCCTGAAAGTTGTAATCGTTTTCGCGTTCAACCAGGAGTTTTCCTTTGCCTTTCTTTTTGATTTTACCCTGCAACAAACCAACGATTCGATTAGATAATACAGTGGGCATGGTGTCTGTAAAGGGCAGTTGTGATCAATATACGAAAAACTGATCGAAGAATTAGAGGAGTAGCCTTTTCACATTGCACTTGCAAAGTTCCGCCGAAAACACGATCCTTATAGGAGCGATCGCTTTAATGAATCGGTGCGCAAATAGATCGACCGCGGTGACATGCTTTTCAGAGGGTGGACAGGCAGCATTGCATTGATGTGCACAATACCAAAAGCATCAACAGAAACGCGATAGTCAGCTTACCTTGACAAGCTTTTGCTTCTCAGTTACCAACGCTGTAATGGCAGTGCTCAAAGACTTCAGCGCATCCACGTCCACTGGCGGTGAAGATGGAAGTTACGTGAATGAGATTTACCTTCTGTCATTGCATCGCGGATCAGCTTTTCAGCAAACGCACTATAGTGTGGTGATTTCTGGGGAAGTATAGTATGACACTTGAACAGAATGGCGTACTTCAATTTTCCTCAGTTTCGCCTGTAAAAGGTCATTGAGAACGTTGAAATCTTCTTTCGTTCTTGGTTCACAAGCATCTATGCTGTTTTTTGTGTCTGGTACTACAGGTGCCGCTCCTGAAAGTAACAATCGATAGGGAGAAGCAAGAGCTCACCAAAAGTATCCTGCAATAAACCCAGTTCAGCCTCCTCCGCAAGCCTTTCACGTTGTAGTTCTGTCATCGACTGCTCTGCCCTGAGCTCCTCTTCACGCTTAAGCTTCTCCTCCTTCTCCTTGCGGCGCTTTTCCTCTTTTAGTCTGAGTCTTTCTGCCAATGTGAGTTTCTCCGGAGCAGGCGCCACTGGCTGTGGTTTTGGTTTCGGTTCCTCGGCATCCCAAGAGTCCTATTTTTAAAAAAATTTCCTGACTTTCTTCAATTGTATTGGATGTGAACTGCAGTTCGAAAAACCTTACCAGGGATGTACAGATAGGACGAACAGTATCAAATAAGTAACGAAACTTTTGTTAACCACTAAGGTACTCGTCAAACGTACAGCGTGTGATACCACAGCCCAATCTACAGCTACGAAGTTTAGAAGCAGTCCGTTACAGTGCTGAATTTTCAGTGCCTGTAACATGTATTAGTCCTAATGAACAGGCCACGGTTTCAAGCCAAACTAACCGCGTTCCCTACTGTCAAGGAGTTGGTGCCTTGTATCCAACGCCTATTACATGCTGCCAACTCTGAAGCACGTTTTTCTTAGCCAGAACAGAACAAACAGAATGGTTGAAGAATTGGCGAACGGAGAGCGGTTCTATATCAATCGAGCTGATACGTTACGATGTAAGGTTACCAGCTGAGAGGCGTCGACAACAGAAGTAGCTTGGATTGAAAGTAAATAACTCAATCTGGCTAAAGGCTCACGTAATCTCATTCCACCGAGCCAAATTGTCATAACAATTACGAACTCGCACACACCGATGAAATTTACGAATTACACTCAAGAGGAATCATCGGCCTTAAGCGGAAGATCAAGAACCCGGTAAAATGATTCTAAATCACCCATCGACCCTAAGACTTATGCATCCGCACTAACCAACAAGACCTTTTAACTGACACGCAACGCCCACTTACAGTGCTAGTCGAAAGAGATCTTGCTTGCTGGTTCTCCGTCTGCTTTAGGATACGACCAACTTAGTGACACACTCAGATAGCCTGACGAATGCAGAGTCAAACACCCACGTGTAAATCTAGTTGACGTTAACGCACGGTTCGGGTCAATATCTCCAAGATATTTTAGCTGAATGTGAGATGCGAAGTCTGCTACAGTTCAGTTGGTCTTATAATCGAGATATCAAAGCAACTTTCCGTGACAGTGCAGTTGGATGCACTCAGCGCCGAGCTGTCTTGCTGACGACACTCCGTGTAGCATCGTGGCTTCCTTACAGGATTTCTTAAATGCCAAAATTTGTCCTCAAGTCACTTAGATACCCGTAGTGACTGAAACAACTATCCAAAGCTGGTCTTTTTGGCTGGCCCTCCGTATCCGCGGATGCTGTTTCCAGCATCATATTAAACTCAGATGTGATGAACGCAGGTAAAACTTTACTAAAGCATTCCTTTAAGTGGTTCCATGGCAGTTAAGCACCAGTACTCACAATTGACGCAACGTGATCGGTGATGTTTGATAATAATAAGATAAGAATCGTTCAGCTGTGCCAAGCTATCCCATTACCTGCAGAGTCAGAGGGGTGAAATAATGCCAGACTGGCCAAGCCTAAACAGGAGTAGTCGACACGTTGGAGTTCATTTAGGACCACGGGCCCTCCTGTTACTAAGTTCGCGCTTTAATCACTGAACTATCTCGACGTTTACTATCCACCAGTGTTCTATGTCACTATAGTAGTAGTCGTTCAGTTGCGACACCATTTCAATAGAAGCGACCGTGCAGGGACCACGAGGGATCAGGTATTGCCAGATCGACCAAATCCAAAGAACACTTATCAAAAGCCAGTGATAGGATCTAAACCAAAGTCACTGATGGAGTAGCTTGAGTATTATCCACTTGGCTACATCGAGCCCAGTCCTATCCGTTACTCCGGTCTTGGCTATTGCTGTCGGCTGTTCGCCGCAGAAATAACCCTTAGCTGCCGAGATCCATAGTAGTGTTCAACTAGGCGTACAGATGGCTTCGAAAGCTATACACATGCGATATCTAACTATCTGTCATCCTCTAAGCTATTGGTTACATCAGTGGTTAGTTTTATTACCTTCGAATAATCCAAATGTAAGCATATATTAGCATTTTATTCTGCGGAATTGCCTTTGGAATGGTGTTTCTTGTGGGTCAACAGCGTTCTGTCGGGAAACGAAAAATCATACAAGCCACCACCTGTATGACTCCAAGGCAACAGGGAGAATAATTTCAGCAGGCTTAAGTTAAGTTGGCCACGTCACACACAACTATGTTACCGTGCTTTTGAACAGATGGTTGGCTCTCCCTTCCCCTAAAACTCAAACATGAAGCAAAAAATTTAAGGTGAATCTCGCAGCCGTTCAACAAAACAGTCCATATTGTACCTTGACACACGTCCATTGAGATTCACGGATACACCGCTTTGAAGCCATATGTCACAAATTAGCAAACGCAACCCTAACCTCGCAGGTTCGTACGCTGACTTCACCTGCCACACTACGATCAGAAGTGATGAAACTTCCAAGATACATAAAACGTTCCAAAACTTCGAATGTTTCTCCCTGGAACGATGGTGTTCAGTGACTGCTGGTCCCCGAGCATGACCTCAGACTTTGTGGGTGCAAGTCAGATGCTAAAAGATAATGTGATTTTGGTCACTTCATCCAAAACACCGGTGCCTTCTTTTTGAAGACGAGGACGATAGCGCCCGTATATTTCGTGAGCAGCTATTTGAGTCTCTACTTATGGCTTTGTTCAAGCACCAAACGGAGTGTGAAGATTTGGTGAAAGCAATCCAAACCGGACCGGTATTCGGCTTTCTACTCTCGATTTAGTGTACCAGGAGCCACAATGAGGAAACGAACTACAAATGACGCTAAGAGTGGTGTTACAACTGGAATCAAACTGACACTCATATGTTCGTTTTTGAAAATGGGCACCCCATAGATCCTCTCCAATTGTCTGGAATGGTCTCTTCTTCCTAGATGCGGGTAAACAGATGAGGCAAGGGCTGACTGTGGACTTCGCCCCGTCTTTGGACAATCTCATCATCAGAAACAGCAACATCAGTGTTGACACTGATGCCTCACCGCCATACAACCACAGAGTTAATATAATTATGCTTGAAGCCTCAGAATGAAAAGAAGAGAAAAGAGCGGGTGTATCTAGTCAAGCGCAGAAAGGGTCGCGGGGACTCCATCCTGGAAAGTGTACTGCAACCACAACACGAAAACTCTTCATGATCTTTTATACACCCTTTTGCTACGTTGTCCACCTCATGGTTCCTGTAATTCAAGAGACTCAGGGAACAACACTCGTCTCGGTTGATGGTGTTTGGAAATGCGTAGCACATGGCTGAGCCACCGCAGTTGATGGTGCTGGATGTTTTCCAAGACGAAGTACTTGCCACACAACCAAATACCCGGTTTCTAATCACGCGTCCAACATCAGTGACGCTTCTGAGGCATCGGTGGTCAAAAATCTGAAGACATCCCACATCGTTTGCCCAGCAACTCGATCGATCCTGCCTAGCCATAGGTAAGCCGGTAGTGTCTCAGCACCCATGCTTCCTTCGGATGGCATGACAGCTAGGAACCGAAGGGGCGTTTCAGCTGATCCACTACCATTTTAATCATTGTCAGCAGCTGATAAAGTCTACAATTCGGTACGACTGTTTTGGTGGTTGCATCCGAGTGATACAACTCTAAGTCCGACAACCGATGAGATACCCAGGAATAACATTCCCGAACCGTGCTGGACTGAAAAAGCATGCCACTGGAATGCGAACACATTCAAACTGCTCATCCAGGGCAATATATTCTAGCGCTGTGGTATGGTATTGGCTAATAATTTTTCAATCGTTCAGCTGTATCCTTTAGGTGTCTAGCTGCCACGGCAACGGTAGGAGTTACGATGGCTGGGATACTGCCAGGTTGCCCAAGCCTAGACAGGAGCAGTCGATGTGCTAATTCTGGGTTCGAAGCACGGGCCTTTCAGTCCGTAAGCCGGTGCCTTAACCACTGGGCTATCTCGAGCCCTACAGTACTGGTAAGAGTTTGCGACTGCCACGGATGGATTCATAGCATTTGTCGGACTATGGTAGGCACGCGAACTTTGGGAGAAGCGTCACCACGTATTATTAGGGGTGACGATTTGGGTCATGTCAAGGGTCAGATTTTTCGACTCCATGACGCTTACTTCGCAAAACGAATCTCTGCCTCCATTTGTTCTGCATCCGAATTTTCCATAGCAAACTGTCGGGCTGTTTATATGCCTGACTTCTGTTTGAAGATTGAACTACTGCGCCGGAAGTCAGTCAGTTCTCCACCCTTATGTGGATCAAATGAGACAAATTCGATACATGGTCTTCGTTTTGGACTTCCACAGTAATCTCCCTGTTCTTGATGTATCAACAGGTATTTGCGTTCCTTTGACACTCGCTGACAAACAGGTCAGCTTCATCGGAGCGATCAGTTAGGCTGTCTCCAGTAGCCGTTTTATAGTTCAACGTCTCATCTGTACTAGCACGATAGGGCCTGCGTCTAGTGCTTCAAAGTAATCTTGGCGCGGCAGTGAAGCAACAGTGGCAACACTGATGTTGCTGTCCTTGATGATGATGAATCTTGGCACTTATTGTGCAGAGGCTTGGGACCTTTGAAACCAGTCGATTAATAGTTTCACCAGGGTTTCACCATAATAAGCCAAACCAATACAAAATGTCCACGGGTGAGTTAGAGGTGTCTCGGTTCCCAACACTTTTAGTGAGGCTAAATTTCGGCTTTGACAATGTGCAAAGAATGACAGCGCTACCAGACGATATGCTTGTGATGTTTTTCTCCCAGCATTTCAGATGGTACACTCGAAGACCATCACTTGGTGCTTAAGTTGGTGCTTTTCATTCCGAGTGTTATTCCGTGGACGGAGACCTTCGGCAAAAGTACGCATATAATCCGACTGAGCTGTTCATTCGCTATCAGAATGTCTACGATGTCCGGACGTCGCGTTCCGCTCAGGAGCTATGCCAAATCTGGTCATGCTGATAAGACCATCGGTAAGCCCATTGTAATGTGCAACGTGTGAGACAGATAAACCGCCTACCTCAAGGTTGCGTGGAATTTTCCACGAGGGCTAACCGAGGCATCATTTAAAAACACCCATCAATGTCCTAGTGATACAAGGGAAAGTGCTGTGGTGTGAATCCTACATCAAAGCCATAAAAGACGGCTTAGCAAATCTACGCCTCAAAAAAGCTCCATTCTACCTAATTAAAGGAACTCAGGCCATAACCATTATGCGTTACTTAAAGGAAAAGTCGACGTACGGGAACCGCCTCACCGAGGTCATCATCCCAGCAACTGGCAATTTTCTGGGCCACGACATCAGTGGTTTCCTCGTCATCTAACAAAGTGGTTATTTCTGTGGAACGGGAGAGCACCCTACCCCAATCACCCATCGTTAGCGGTACGCTCAGGCCAAAACCCCGTCGCCAAGTTCCTGCAGTCTGATTGGTTGACGTATGTCGCGTACTGGTTACACGTGCGAATCTCGATAATATCATTGAAGGCTAACTCTACTCCACAATCCGGAGAGCCAGAGCCGAACTCCAAGAATCACTTGAAGCTCCGGAGGTCAAGCAACGTTTTCCGCCTACTTGACATGGTTTCTTCGCTCATGTACTGAACTGAAAGAAATACTTTTCTCTATTTTAATGATATTTTAAAATATATGACGGTGTAGTTGTCAGGTGGTCCATCTTTTCACATTAGTACCCCTAACGAATTTATCTGAAACCGTTAATGTACAGGAAGGTGAGGTTTGGAGGCGAAATTTTCCAGCAAACTTTGGCTAGTTATGCAGCCTTGTCGTACTCAACGGTTTAGTGTTTCACTATGCTGTTCAGAAATTGTCAGGGATCCCAGCTTCCATTAGCGCCTGCGTCCCTGTATCACAATTTCACTCTAAAAGCGAATATATTTTGAACGACTGACAGAGTTCAGTTGATTCTACTTGAGCCAATCAGATTGCCCATTCAGGCGTGGGTTCCGAGTACGTCGTCAACACAACTACTTCACGAGGGCACAAAACCATCACTCAGTATAACATTCTCAAACGCACGTAAGAGGCCAGGAAACCAAAGTCTCGTGCTTTCTGATCGCCAAACCAAGCTTCTGAACTCATATTGTTATGATAACCGAAAGGAAAGGAAAATGTGCGTCTCACAATCTGTGTTGCCAAACAAATGTGGGTTGTCTATGGATAAAAAGTACAGTTTTATACACCTTGTAGACTATCGATAAAGCTTACCAAAAACAGCACTTAAAGCCGGGTAATGAACCGCAAATGAATAAGAGCAACAACTGTCGGCAGGTAAGGAAGACGAGCACAAAAATCTCGGGGTGCTCGTTGGAGGACAATGACCTTGCCGAGCGTGAAGCAGATTGCCTGGAAGATATGTAGGAGAGTTAAAACCCTGCCCTACACGTGGATCTGAAGACGATAACAACTTTCAAGAAACCCAAGGTGGTTGTGGTAACCGAGAAGAAATGTGTGAAGCGCGACATTTCTGAGCAGTTTAAGTTACAGACAGTTGGTGCTGACTTTAAAATCATCCACTAGGTACTCTTTGATATGACCTCAACATACTTCTGCCAATAAAGCCCAAAAAGGCCTTTGCTCCATGGGTTAACTGATTAAACAGTATCCATTAACATTATCATCGGCAGAAGAACTAGTCTGGGTGCGCGATCACCAATAACTGGGTGACCATGTTGTCTGCCAAAGTCTTTCACCGTCGTCAACACTGCGGTCCGCATCCAAGAAAGTGGTGATAACTAGCCCGACCAATAATCAAGGATTTAAGAACCGATACGCGCGATCAAGTCCCTAGCCCAAGTTTCCGGGTCGGTTTTGTTCCTTTTTGGCGGCTGCCGTTCACCTGAGAGGCACGGTCCTTTAGAGTCCCAGCTTTGGGTGACAAGTTTGCCGACGCGACGACTCGCATTGAGGGTGTCTAGTAGTGGTGTGAACTGAGTAGCTTAGACAACGGACGGAGGATGATTATTTTAATCATCGACCACCAGAAATGACAAAATTGTACCTAATTAGGGTGTGCGCTCTGAGCTTGATAATCGTCTTCCTATGTCGCCGCCGTGTGTTGACTGGGTCGACGGTGAAAAATCTGTTGGAAAAACTTCGTTCACGCAGGGCGAAAGTGAGAATTACGTCTCCTAGGAGTCAGTGATACTCCAGGGGTAATCTGTCAAGTAGCACGGGAAGCGCTTCATAGTTCACGGATTTTAGGCCGGCGGCCGTTTTCGTGGCAGCCCGATGGACACGTTCAATGCGGGTTACGTTTTTCTTGCGTACTGAATAGACATCTTAATTGTCATATTCAAGACGCGGCCTGACGTAGGTCCCATGGAGCAGCCGGGAGTTTACGCAAGTAGTACAGGGGATGGTGCACTGCATCATCACGTGGCACGCGAACGCTGTAGGAGCCGATGTTTCATGGTTCAGTGGGAAGGACAGGCTTGAATGGAGCCGGTTACATTAATCCTCTTCGATATCTATCCTCATAATACCTTCTGATTCATTATCATCGAGCACGTCAATAGAGCACTCTGAGTCTCCTGCGAACGCATTTTTTCATTCATTTCAAAGTACCAATCAAGCGATCACTGCTTTAAAGCGTCCCAATCCATTTGGAGGGTCTTATCGTTGGAAATTCAGTATTTTAAGGTGTCCTCAAAAAGTGTACCTGAAAATGAAAGAATATCTGGAAGATCGAAGGCGTAGATCGTTTTCATGAGGAAAGCGAGGAAGGATGTCCACCGATTTTAAGGCTTCAGGCGATATATACTCGTAAACTATCGCCCAACTGTCGTGCTTGTCTTAGAAATTTAAACTAGTGCGTATGTCAATTATAATCACGTTAATTCAAGAGGCAGATCGTTTGTCGTAGCCATGTTTCCAGACCATCCCCAGATAAAGCAAAAGAACATTGAGTTGTGGGTGGCAGACCCACACTCGGTTTATTTCACACCAGAATACCAAAAGGGAGCTTATAGAGAACTAAATGAAAAATTCGGGGACTCTTGCTGCAGGAGACTTTCTCATCAGGTCTCAATAAATTTATTCGTCAGGATGGACCGAATGTGGGCAAAATAATATTTCATAAAGACGGGTGAATATTTGCGCAAAAGCGTGCTTCTCCACTCGTGATAAGATGTTCAGAAATGCTAGTAGACTAGCCGTTGATACATACTGAATTTTGAAGAAATCTGAATCGGAGGCTGATATTAAGTCCCCATGGTAAATTTCAACTTCGTGGTTTAACTTCACAACGTGAAAAAGCAACAACATTCTTTAACGATGGAAATCGCACCTGTTTAAAAGACAGCTCAAGCACACACAACGGGACTCCTGAGCTCCACGCCTTTGTGGTACCAGCAAGTTACACCAAACAAGTAGAGCCTCTTTCTAAATCCCTGCTTTTTAAGTTTGTGGAATAATTCTGAACGGTCGTCAGTCTTTCAGCGACGACGCTCGGTGCTGTCTCTGTCATATGTGGATGTATGTTACCAAAGAAGTCAAGTCTATTTGAACAGATCCGCTGTTTGTTTTGATCAGAATGCATCGACAATATATAACTTGGCATATGCAAACAGTTTTGCTTATATTTTAATGGAAGTAGTGCAATGAAAGATGACAGACCAATTGAAGTAAGTTTGAATTTTAGGGTGATAACCCAATAGACCGGTAACTTGTGTTGAGAGTTTAAACTGCCATTTGGAGGAGAAGAATCTGAAACCTCATGTGGGCAGTTACTTGTTCTTTTTGATAGTTACTAAACAAAAGAAATACTCGAGAATATAGTATTTGATCACACCTACACGTAGTACAAGAACAAAAACACATTTAAAAAAGTAGGAACAAGGAGCGCAAGTGAACTGTCAAATGACTACCAACTTTCCACAGCAATTCTCAAGGCAAGAAACGAAAATCCGTAAACATCAAAGGCATACGCAAGAGTTTAAAGAGGTTAAACATTACAAACCCTTGCTAGAAAAGTGCCCATTTAGACTTGCTGTGGCGCTGGCGGGGGGTGAGCATCGTCAACCTTAACGCTTCGAACGCTAAGCTGTGGTTCACGATGAAATCAAAAACTCGCCCCTTGACACTCTGAGTGATTTGTGTGTGGTTATAACGTCAAATCGGAAGTGTCAGAGCAATAAAAGTTCCTGGACAAACAAAACCATCCGGTGCTCACAGAATTGTCGCTGTTTATTGACAAACTGGTTTAGATGCATAATTCACACGACAGAGGACGGCCGAATTCGTAGAATTAAGCGACTTACGTGCATTATGCAAATCAACGAATGATCAGCCAAACCTGGAGACGCAACAGAGAATATTTGACCAGCAAAACCGGACTGACCACTGCGCCTACCGCGATTGAGAAGGTTGAACACAACACACCAACAACTGTTAAGGATGGCAAACAAACAAACATTCACCACATTCGATGGCGCGCATGCATGCCAGCCATCATGCATGGCACGATTCCGCACCATAAATGATATCAAAATTGGCCTCTCTTTCATTCACGCACATTTTTTCCATCGATTTCTCGCGTTCTTTTACTCCTTCAGTGCGTTTCATGGATATTTTATTTTGAATTTTTCCGATGAGTCGTAGCATTTACGTAAGAAATTATTCATCCGTTCACGCTTACTTTTCTTTGTTTACACAAATACTTACAAGTGTGAATCGCACTGTTGCCGGCCGCTTTCCATTGAAGCCACCACTGAAGCAAACGGATATGAACAAATCTAATTCCGTCGGATATAACATGTGGAATGCTGTATCCTGTCTGTGTGGATTTCTCGCGATTTAATTTTATGCGTTTTCGGAACGACCAGATAGGCGAGGTGCACATCCATTCGGCCTCCTTACGCACGCCAGCTGCGGCTGCCAAGGGGACGCTATGCATTTTAAAAATTACAAGACACATAGGCGGCGAAACCAAATGATTTTACTCACTTTAAGAAAACGAGGACAAACATTGTTACTCTGTCGGAACACTAAAAGACGGCATTTAACCAACTTAATTTCCGAGGAAATGGATTCGCCGCCGCGTCGTAGATTCACACTCAAAATTTTTCTGAAGAAGTGGTTCGAAAACGCAAACTATAACATAAAATTTTAGCATTTGATGGTAACTATTCGGGCCCCTAAAATTTCCCTCCGTGGACACAGTTTTGTAGAAAGTTGTTTAAACCTACTCCAGTCCCGGACGCGGGATTCACGTTTTTAATGGCTACCATTGCTGATCACGTTTTGTCCATGAATGCGGTGGATGATTTTGCTTAGAAGCTGGCTCGTCCATGTTTTTCTCCTTCACTGCATTTCAAATCGCTTTGAGAGAGTATATCATCAATATTTTCCCAATTTTCGTCCGCATAATCTCCCAAAAGAGCAGCAGCTCCCAGGAGGCCTCTTTGCAGACGAAGTCAAGGCTACGGAATTCGTCGCACATGATAAGTTAGCCATTATTTGTTTCCGCCCGCTAGCATACGCCATACTAGTTGTCTTCTTGCAACATTCTATGTTTGCCGGTTCCAAGACTACTTGCTGGTTACCTCTCGCCGCCTGGAGCACAGCCCTCGACGCAGCAACCTTATTTTTGACAAGTTCCCGTTCGACTGGCGATGGTCGTTTTGGAAAGGTACTATCATGTACATTAACAATTATCGCGTCAAATTCCGACCCCAAGTGTGAAGTAGGTCGGTTATTACCTTTTATTTGGTTTATTAGATGACAGGTTATCCATCATAACCAAGCTTCGATGGTGTGGTTGCGCACCTTTGGTGTAAGCGGAGGGTGGCAATTTAGGCCACCTGTGCTTCTCCCGAACGCGACAAATCACACTTTTTCGATGTTTCCCTGGTGTATTAAAAGCTGATGCTATGCACAGGAACAACCGTCTTGGGCAAGTAACCTTAGGGCTCCTGACGTTCGCGATATACATTACTTGTGACGCATGGCACGTCCATTGGTCAACCAATATTGTATGCCTTCGTTGAAATCGAGTGCCTTACGACTTTGCGCAAGCTATCCTGCTTGTTCAGGGGTATGATGGGTGGATAGTATTCAGTCAAAACCATCGTCGTAGAGAATCAGCTTCGCAGAGGATGGCTTCCAAATTTGTGCTTGCTTGTGATATAACGCCGTGCCATTTTCAAGCACGACAGGCCATCCGGAAGCATGTACGTTTCATTGCGTCGCTGTAATTTTTCAGACGATTTCTAGCTGCCGTCGGCATATATTCGGCCGCATGGCCCAGTTTGATAACGCAACTGAGTAGATGACTTCGCCGAACGTCAGTCCTGTTGATTTCGCCACTGTTTACAAATCCTGGGAAGAACAGACCCAGGTTTGTCCCGTATTTGATTGCCGATCAGCTGTACATAACTCGAAAGTAGACCATTCGTGCACGGCTTCGGTTGCTACATTTTGGAATGTAGCAGAACGTCAAAGGGAGTTTGAAGAGACGCCGATAGCCAGGAACATGCCATCTATAGGATCTCTCAGTTAAGCAAACCGCTCGTGCGCGCCTATGAGATGCACGCCACTGTGACCACCAAGAAATTCTCGAAAGACAGCAACGTCCTACGTGTGGCTTCTTGGATGACGACGGCAATCAAGTTCACAGGCACATTACAAGGTGCACGCCAAATCTGATATATCATCAGACAGCTCCCTTCAAAGTGAGAAACTTCCTTTTTGGTAACATTCAGTTTGTGGTTTAAACCCCAAAATGTTCTCAGACGGTTAACACCTCGGCCGGAACCTGCACGTGCATGTTTTACCAATTTATGTGGCTACTTTTTGTACACCTATTTACGGTAACGTTCGGGTGTTAATCATCCTCGAAAAGTAGGTCCGATTGTACGACAGCCCCGTTTACCCCTCTTTAGCATAGGTGAGGCCTCATAATCAGCGTCGCCCATAACACAGGCCAAGCAGTTACGATAAGTGGTAAAGTTTAGTGATGATGGCTGATGTTATCCCTTCACCTACGGGGTGTCATATACCTACTATTAGTTTGCTCCTTGTTGCATGCAATGGAACGAGTAGGTGAGAGGGTACGGTCAAGAGTGGGAAGTGAATAGTTGTGAGCATGCTATCAAACTGGGCATAGCAGTGCGGGGTAGCCAGTGCACTGATACATTTTGTTTTCTGGACAGCCCCGCAACGGAAATGCGGCCGAGATGTGCAATTCTGTGAGAGGCGGGATTTTTGAATTGATCGAGGGAATCCACAGAGGTGGAACGTAGCCGATAAAAGGCATCAGGTATTTTTCTGGTCCGGTTTACGATCACCACAGATGCAGACCATGGGTCAGGTAGGGTGGACATCAGTAAAACAGGACGATAGGATAAAGTGCATTATAACAGAGAAACGACTAAAAGTTTGCCACAATTAGTTTGGTGACAACAAATGATTAAAATGTACTATAGGAGTAGAGTTGTGCCTAGTATACAAACGATCAAGCACGGGTTGAATTTGCTAATATGATATTATAGTACAACAGATCCAGAGCAAACCGGTATAAGTACACATGTAGGTGATGGTTTGGAATTTGTTAAGTGAGTGGGACGGTTCCTTGGTCCAAGTGAGAAAGCGGGTATAAGAGGCATGGTCACTAGTCTCCGAAGCACTGCTGCTGGACAGGCAATCACCGAACCTACCACTTGCAGTCCAAGGAAAGCCATACGAATTTTTAGAGCGTTTTATGTACATTCGAAGTTGTATTTGTTCCAGTAACAGATGAGGATCGCCAGTGGTCGTTGGATTAGTCCATTATGTATAGCTGGGGCAATATGGTAGGCTAAGAACATATACACGGGCCCAGCAGTTACTAAATGTAGTCATGGAAGGTGCCGTCGGCTACAGTTATGACTGTGATAGGCCGTCACTGACCACTGGGTTAGGATATCACGCATAACTCAGGCCTCATTTTTATCGGCCCACATAGATACTGGCCTGGTGTTTACTATAGGTAACAGATATAAACGACAGCACGCACAGCCATGGTTGTGACTGTCGTATGCCGTTAGATGTGGATATTATGCATGGCTGGGGCGTAATAATCAGTCTCGCATGTAGAAGCTAGCCTAGCAGTTACAAACGGTAACCATGTTAAGCAATATCGCGTGCGGTTATGAGTGAGACGTTTGTCGTTCGCCGTAAGATTGCGTTTGTGTGCATAGTCTGAGCATCGTTTTCATCGGTTTGCATAAATACTGGCTTAGTGCTTATCATTAGTAGCAAAGATAAGCGACATCACGTAAAATATGAGTGTGATGGAGTTGTTTGAATTCGGTTACCGCGCACAATCAATGCCGCACATGGACACGGACCTGACAGGTACGATAAATAACCATATTAGGCGACGTCCAGAGCAGTTGTGGGTATAACAGGCTGTCAGATTAGCTTATCACGCATAGTTGAGGACTTATTTATACCGGCCCATATAGATACTGGCCCGGTGTTTACCACAGGTAGCTAGGATAAGCGGTACCGTGCACAGTTATGGGTATGACGTCCATCGGCGTCGCACACAGACAAGGAACACAGTAGTTGTCGTAAGTTGCCGAAATGGGTGAAAAGGGCCTGCGTTATCGTAGGAACCGGCAATAGATACCCTCATTTGCCACCAGTATATTTGCGCTATGTCATGTATATAACCTACGGAGCTCCACCGAAAAATGTATTGTGACTAAGTTCACCGAACGAAATTATATCATTTGTTAGATCTCAGGGGTAAAAAGCAAACAAACGTCACGGAGCGTAATATCTCTAATACGAATGATAGCACTATTTTGGTAATTTACCTGCTGCCATCTCGTGGCGCTGCACTGTCCACAGGTTAGTTATGCGTATCTGCATCGCCACCGCAATATTAATGCAGGTGTCCAACAGCGTCCTACTTAATGAGAACTTAGCTTCCTGGGTGGAGTTCGCATTGGATATTCTACAGATGTTATTTCACTTCTAAAGAACGCCGAAGAAGGTCAAAATAGGCCAAGGTGCGAGTTCGTGTTTCCTCTCTCGTAAGCCGGTAAACATGCAAATCTATGGTTGTCAGTGGCCATGAAATTTCGAACACTTAGGCAAAATGCTATGAGCGAAACATCACCAAAAGGTGCAAATAGATTGAACTGACTCCCTGTCGAAGTCACAACTTCGAAATCCCGTAGTTTCGGTGAAAATAATTTTGGTGTGGTTCTAGTCAGCGACGATTTTGTTAACAATTACACAAGATGTGCCTTTTGGCACTCTTTAACTAGATGAGGTTCATCGAAGCCCTTCAAAAGAATTCTGCTCAGCTTGGCAAAACATTTCTGCTCAATGCTTTGTCCATTGTTTGTCAAAGTCAAATTTCCTTCGCTTCAAAGGAAGAGACCGTTGAACATTTGGAAATGGCTTATCGTCGAGCAGCTGTAAGCCGGTCACACTCACCGGCATGGAGTGCAGTGTTAGAGAACACAGCATGAAGGGAGGCGTGTCTAATCGCCATTATGCCAACGACTTTGTATCCCAGAGACAAGAGAGATTCCCACAAAACAATTTTGCATGACAAATCTCCACGTATTCCTGCATACTCTAACACAACAAATGGTGAGAAATTCATATCATGCACCATACTGCTCAACTTTCCAAAGCATTCGGTCGAGTTTCATGGGTTTTGGTACAATTCCGAGAGGCAATTCTACGTTGAATTATTGCTTCTCTTCTGGGTGGAGGTTCGTAAAATTCATATCAGCATACACTTATGCAACCTCTTGCATTGTTGGTCTTCGAAATGCCGTCCTTGGGCCAAAGGTCTTTCTTATCTACGTTGGCAGCCCGCCGCATGCACTTTCAGGTCTGCGTTTGCTTATTGTAGACGACCTAACATTTTACGGTCCAAAAGCCAGCTCTCTCTGAGTGGGCGTCTACGCCACGATCTAGCACTTACTGGACCGACATATGAAATGTTTCCTCAGGAAAGAAGAACATAATCGTCATTGACTGTGTCCATCGAGCTGCGGGGAATAAGAAAGCTGGCCTTAAAGTTGCTCGAAACACCCAAAAGCTTCTGAAAATGCTAGTGTTAGGCTGGCGTAAGCCCTGAATATCCTGGCATCTACTCACACACTTGGTGTTAGCTTCACTAACAAATAAAGGAAAAATGGTGAGGGATTCAAGATCAAAGCACTCACTCTCGCTGGCTAACAGCACTCCTCAGCTGGTGTGTTGAAAAATCTTCTTCTGACGGTGACTCACGCTACACCTAAGACCCGGTTCAAAGCACTTCCGGATGCGTTTTGCGTGTCTGTCTTCACAGCGGCACAGTAACTGTGCTTCCACGCCTGTACCGATTTAGCGGTGACCACGTCAACATCGCACGAAGCCCATCTTCTATGAAACTGTCACTTTTCCCCAAAACCCCTGTACCCGCATATTCCGCCAGCCATGCTTTTATTCCGACTGTAAAATGAGGATCATGCCTGGGGGCACACCACCCACAAGTCTGGAGCAGTTTTTTATTGGACCAACACAGGCCCACCAGAGGCAGTGGTGCCCAGGAGGAGGCAAACCTCACATGCAACCAGCGCCCACAGTACGTGGAGATATCAACGCTTATCTCCGTAACAGAGGACACAGCTGCAGCCGTGCACTCCTCAACAAAGTCACAGCCCCTGAACTAAGCTGAGTCAGATGTGTGGAGACAAGAAGCGAAGCCAATCTCCAGCTCCACTCCGTCAAAGCGGTCTCTCTGCTTGTGGACACAACCGTCGCCCACGACTCCAACAGCCAAAGCCATAAACATGACTACAGNTGCAGCCAAACAAGCCACATAAAACTCGCCAGATTAGAAGACTGCTGGCTGGCTTCAAGGTGCAGTCCTCCGCGAAAACGAGCCCCTTTTGAGCGCCACCAAAATCATTACCTCTTGGTGCCACCACCCAGCGGTCAGGACCTCAAAGAGAGACTTTTCCGGTCAAACCGCACCAAAACACGCAAGGATCCAGAAAGGCAAAAGCTTGCAGCAAACCTTTGATCAACAGCAAATCTGGTCGACGAAAAGGGGATGCTGAAAGAGATACAAACAGAAACGGTCGAAATTTTCGCCCACGGAAAAACTCCGTCCCTCAAAGCCAAAAGGCCGAGCAAACCGGGCTTCCACGGAACGAAAAAAACCTCGCAAGTGAAAAGTACCCCCAGAACCCACGAAGACAGGAAGCAGACTATATTGCCCCAAAGGCCCCTTTGGAGCCTTGGACTCGAACCAGGTGCACAACTATTAAGTCTGTTAACCACCCTGGTCACTCAACTTTCGGCCCCTCGCAGTCGGCAGCAGAGACAGTGTTGAAATGCTTGTCCACAAACTGCCTCAGCCTTTTCAACAAACTCAGCGATGTTACTCAGTCAGCTTGCCTTGAACAACCGTCCATAATAGCACTCAGAGACCTGGCTCACATCAGATGCCTCTGACGCAGAGATCTCGGTAGAGGGTCACTCTATTTTTCGAGCTGACTCAAACGAGGGCGTCCTGGTGTGGTTGCTCTGTACTTATATGCGGCCCTACCAATCCCGCTTGTCCTCTCTGACACCACCCCTGCATCATTTTGCGATGCACTCTGGGTCCAAATCCCACTGCGCGGGTCCGATTTTCTCCTTCCCGGCATGGTCTACCGTAGCCCTCCGAGTTTCCCTGAAGATGACCAATTCCTTATACAAACACTTGAGCAACTCTCCTCCAACTACCACTTCACTCATCTCCTGCTGGTAGGTAACTTCAACGCCCAAACGTCCTCCTGGATGGAGCTCCAGCGCGTCGAATCAGGCGGACTTTTGCAGCGGCGCTGATTGAAGTCATTCAACAGAGCGTTTGGACCCAACATGTCGTTGCACCCACCAGATGCCGCGCAGACCAACTGCCGTCCCTCCTGGATTCGGTCATCACCAACGAAAGACACTTCGTTGATCAGGTAACATTTAACGCTCCACTGGGACATAGCGACCACTGTGTGCTGACCTTTGATTTCATCTGCTATTGGGCCGGAAATCCCGAACCTTAAACGTGGTTTCGAGACTTCTGCCGTGCAGACTTCTCAGGAATGCGCATCTTTCTTGAACAAGTCACCCTGGGACCAGCTCCAGTGGAAGAACTATATAGGACCATTGTCCAGACAGTTCATGAAGCCGGCGCGACGTTCGTCCCAAAAAAAACCGGCACGCACTAGGATGAACCGCAGGCTGCCAAAAAGGATTCGGCGACTTCTGGAAAAAAGGCCTCTGCTTTTTTCGAAAAGTTTACTACAGGGGATACAGAAGCTGAGCTGGCATTTCGTAAAATGCGGAACCGCTGTAAATCAGAAATCCGCCAATGGAACATACAAAAGCAAGCCACCATCCTGTACCTCGAAAAAAAAAAAAAACAAAAATGTCCTGTTCAAATACATGAGGTATGGCCGCAGAAACAAGCCTTCCTTGTTCTCCTTGAGGGACAGGAGAACCGACGAAAACAAAAATGTCCTGTTCAAATACATGAGGTATGGCCGCAGAAACAAGCCTTCCTTGTTCTCCTTGAGGGACAGAAATGGAGAACCGACGAGTGACCGAACAATGTTATTTGAGGTTTACAGAGAACACTGTGCATGGCTATACTCAGCCACAACGTCCTCGTCACATCCACTGTTGTCAGGGCAAAACTGCGAACTGCCCCTAACCGACTTGGTCTTCACGGTGGAGGACATTCGTCAACTCTTGCACAAGATCAACCCATTCTGCGCGGTGGGGCCCGGCGAGGTCCATCCAAGGATCCTGAAAGAAAAGTCCTCCAAAACGGCAAACCATTTACACCTAGTGTTTCACCAGTCACTTGACGGAGGCCACCTTCCCTCTGCTTGGAAGGAAGTGATTGTCACGCCAATCTACAAAACTGGTGACCGACTGTCGCCTGGCAGCTACGGGCCTATAAGCCTCACTAGCGTGCCATGCGAGGTGACGGAACGCATTCTGAACGGGCTATCTTAGATCACCTTACTTACAGCAACCTGATATCTCCAGCTCACCACGGATTTCTCCCAAACCTCTCTTGCGTGACAATCATGCTCGTGTTTACGGAAAGCTTAACCCAAGCTAAGGACGAAGGACTCATATCGGACGCCATATTTTTCGACTTCTCAAAAGCATTCGATAGGGTCCCACACGTCCTTCTGCTTCACAAACTGGAGTCTTACGGGATTCAAGGTAAAATCCTTCACTGGATCAAGGCGTTCCCATCAGACAGATAATTCCCAGTGAGAATAGGCTCGACCTACTCTGCTCCAGCACTTGTCTGGATCGGAGTTCCTCAAGGCTCCGTCCTGGGACAAGTGCTGTTTCTGATCTACGTCAACGACCTCCCAGATGTTCTTGCAAGTCCATGTCTAGTTTTTGCGGACGACTTAAGATCCTGGAGTTCCAATGCCAGTGCTTCCAAATGGATGTGGACGCTGCCAAGCAGTGGTCGTTGGACTGGCACCTCCATGTGAATGACGAAAAGGGCGCCCATATGACGTTTGGAGGAGACTCAGCGAATGCCTTTGTTATGCATGGCGAGAAAGGCCCAGAAAACATCACGATGATGGATGCCAAAAAGGATTTGGGCATTTGGGTCTCCTCAAACTTGTCCTTCTCACTGCATCATGAGAAATCGGCCCAAAAGGCATTCGGTATTTTACGGATTACTCGCATTGACTTTCAAATACTCTATGGGGCTTACGTCAGACCACTCCTGAAATACGCCATCCAAGTTGTCTACTCAGGACGCACGAAAGACGTCACCCTCATTGAGCGTGCCCAGCGAGCCAACACAAGAATGTTTGTGAGCCTCAAATCCGTGGACTACGAAACGTGTCACGCGATGCTTGATCTCCTTCCTCTGGAGTACCGTCGCCTACGAAGGGACCTAATTCTTACTTATGCCCTGTTTGAACAAAGCTTGGAAACAGGTATTTACCGTTGAACCATGGAACACCCGGCGGGGACATGGTAAGAGGTTTTTCAAGCTCTGTGCACACACATTCATTAGACAAAAATTTTTCTCATTTCGGGTAGTAGGTGCGTAGAATGACCTTCCTCCGGCGGTTGTTCACGCTCCTTCTAGAACCCAGTTTAAAGCACTAATAGACATTTATTTATGCGAATCCTCGTGCAGGCAAGCATACTGCCCCGCGCTGAGGACATAAAGAGCAGTGCTACACCCTTTTTTCACTCGTACCTTTCAGGTGAACGACAGCCACTGACTGACTAGAGCAAAAGCGACCCGGGAAACTTGGTTAAAAGCCTCGATCCTGCGTATCAATCCGTGGATCCGTGAATCCGTGACACGCTCAATGTGGGTGACGTCTTTTGTGCGCCTTCTTTGCTATGTAGCGGATCCTGTTGATGAGACAGTAGGTGACCTCATGCTGGCTAACTCAGAGCCAGTTAGGCCCGGAAAGATCTATCGTTGCTTCCCGTAGATGTTGATTGGCCAACCTGTTGTTTTTCCGCTCTGGTTACACCACCAATTTTGGTAACTCCAAACGCGGCTGTTTTGGGTCGCCGGGCGCCACGTTTTATCCATGCTTGGAGTGCTTGTTTTTCTGGTGGCAGTTGAGCTATTGTGAATAATTTTTTTCTCCGAAACCCATATGGATTATAACTGCGCGACTTATAATGTAATGGAAGTTGATCACCAGAACTTTCATCTAACGTTTCTGCCACAGGAGAAACCGGATGGTAGCTATGTGGGAAGTTCTCCACAGAATTCTGCCAGTGGTGGACTCGTTCCCTGTGTTTTAGACCAAGGGTCAGAGATGGGCGAAGTAGTTTTGGGTTTCCCACCGGACGACCCAGCGTCTAGTCTTGAAGACCCAAAAGTATGTTAATAGTCAACCCACTGACCACTTGTATAGCAAAATGCACCGTCATTTTCTGTGACTAATGTGAAGACGCTAAAGCAAAAGATCCAAGAACTTCACGCAGCCGTTGACAAGGTAATTTACGATGTAAACATCTACCGACTTTTCAGGTTTTGTGCTTGGACAAATCGAGGTCGGAACCGGTAGGATATTATTCTTTTTCCGAATTTTCCCTCAGTCCTCTCGTTCTTATAGGGACGAATACAGATATATGCTGGATGCTCTACAGGAATTAAGTAATTCTTTTACACCTGCGGGACAACAAAGCGACCACGTTACGCAATACTGGAACACGGAAGGTTTGTAATCCATAACCGGGCTCAAAACAATTCCCGCTAGGTTTCGATTTAAGAACGCCCCCTGTGACACGACCCAGAAATCTAGAAAATAACCCAGGTGACTACACTGGATTTCAACCTGTGGATGCGGGTGTTTCTCACCAAATCGGATACGCTCCTGAGGACCCATTATTTTCAACTGGCTTCACTGAGGTAAGGGCATGATAGGTTCCCATTTTGGTTTTTTTCTCACCGAACTTAGTCGGGTAGAAAACTTCCGCTTCTCTGGATGGGGACCACGGAACTCGAATCACCAGTGGTTAGTAATACTGGCGGAAATGGCCCAATCACGCAGTCAATGGTGCTCGTGCATCAAAGCTGTCGCCTTCAGTGCGTAGCTAGCCAATTGCTACCTAATTACCCTCTTTCGAACTACAAGGCTCAAAACACCGTTGTATCAATAGCGGGGATAGACAGTGTGTTTCTGTTTTACTGCTCCTTGTGCCTCTGTGTACCCAAATAGTATCGTCGAGGGTTATGTTTGGAATTGGGCTCACTATCATTAATTGAAATCTTTGCGTTCAGTCTTGGCTATTCGACTGCGTCTACTAGAACTGTTAGAATCTTGATCTCTCGTGATAATAACCACTAGTGTTTGATGGTGCCGAAGATTTTTCGACATTTAATGTAAGGCCAAGTTTGCTGGTGTTTCTAGGTTGTACAATTTTGTATTCATCGGCGTGAGTAGGGCTTTTTCACAAAGTTTCATGGATTCCTATTTGTCAGTGCTGTGACCATCTATCAACAATTTAATTACTAATTCAATCCACGAAATATCTCAATTTAGACAATCACAATCTACCGTGCAGCGTATACTTTGATAATTTGCCGTAGCATATTCATCAGAAAACGTTTTTTCATGAGGTATGAATTTCCTGAGTCGCGTTGAATGAACATCTGAACATTAAAATTATGTTCTTTTCGTGTACTATCTTGGCACAACTCGGCTGTCGTTACGCTATTTTTATATTTTAGTCGTGGGCAAACGATCATGTTAGGGATACTGATTTGTTATTATGTTCAAACGAATCTCCCAGTTAGTAAAAACGGTATTTGGAGAGGGCCTGATGACAACCCAGAATGAATGTTACACGGTTTACACTGCGGTTACGTCACCATTAGAAAGAATGTGCACATACTTCACATGAGGTTTTGGTACTTTCAAGCTGGACATACGTCACTCGCACCGCTCGGCTTTATAGGGCACACCCCCTTGGGCTTTCATGTCATGACATATCTGCGACATTTCCTGCGGTATACACCGGGACAGAAAGTTCACCATGCTGAACTTTCCTGACGCCGACTAGCAGTGCGTGCAACTCTACATTTTTAATCCCCGTTCTCAATAGCATTGTTGTCGACCAGTTGCTTTTACTTCGTTGTAGTGGGGATTTAGAGTGACCTCAACTCGCCTAAACGTCGTTCAAGGTTCAATCATGTAACGGAGACAAGCCCCTCACTGCGAGTAATCGTATTGCGATGCAATCTAGGGATGCAGTCCCACTATCTGCAGTAGGATTGAAGAAAAATGTCTATATCGAAGTGTCGATACCGCCATCCCATAAGGAGAAACGTTTTGAGAAGCGTCAGCCACAAAGGCTTAAAATATCAATCGTTCAATGGGTAACCGTAACCACCAGTAACCACCAGGCTAATGAGTTTGGTGTTGTTTAGAAGGTATCTATTGTATGCAGCCGAATTAAAAGTATGGAAATTGTGCCTCGCTCTCTGTGTCCTTGGGCTAGGCAAGCCTTCAACAGCCAACCTGGTCAGATCACTAAGTCACTGACAGATCCCTGTAAGAAGATCCTAACACCTGTTACATTGCGGGTTGGAGTTAGGGATAATGGATACTAGCCCGGAATTTAACCAAAAATTTCTTCCACTGCCTTGTGAGTTTGTGCAACCGGAAATACCATTCGCTCAAGCAGCATAGATGCAGCGGCCGGTCGCATTTTATCGGTTTCAACTACTACTGTTTCTCATTCGAATAATACTCCGTCTGTTTGTATATGTTCAATTCAGGGTTCATTTTTAGCCCTCTAACCAGAACAACCTAGAAATGAGCTACTAGCACCAAGGAATCTGCTGAAACTAGCATCCTATTTCGTCAGATCGATCAACAGGCCTTCTTCTCACCCTTTCCTCTTTAAAAGTTTGTCTCCAAAACGAACGTTAGTTTATTTCAGTTCAGGAAAACAACCGTGGGCCTTATGCTAATGTACGGTGGATCGGGTCGGAGCTCGAGGTAGCTCAGTGGTTGGGGTGAGATTGTCCGTTGTTCGAGACCAGACCTGGCATCTTGGATCCTTCTGTCTAGGCTTGTGCAGCCTGGTAATTGTTCGAGACCAGACCTGGCATCTTGGATCCTTCTGTCTAGGCTTGTGCAGCCTGGTAATATCCCAACCGTCGTGCTTCCTTCGGGTGGCATGTAGGCTAGGTACTGTAGGGATGTTACAACTGGACGATTATTTTCATTTAGTTCGGGCCGGCGCAGTCTGTGGCAGTGAGCGGTTTAGTTCACCTGAAGACTGTCCAAGGTAGCTCATTTTGTTCATAAGCTCATATGCATGAACTCTGTTTAACTGGAGCTTTATTAGCAGCCCAATCCAAATACTCGTTATCTTTGCATACGTCTCAACAAACTGCAGATGTAAAACTGTGCAAGATGCTTTTTGTGGATTTCAACAATCCTGCTAATGGCAACTTGCACAAACGCTACCATTATGGTTGGCTATTTGAATGCCCAGATGAGGAGAATCTGCAAGCATGAGAATCATCTCGCCGGAAGATTTGGTGTAGATGCTTCAATAACGGACAACACTGATCACTTTGTGCAACTCTGCGCCGATCACCAGCACTGGTGGAGAGAAACTTCAGCTTAGACATGCCCATCGCGTTATTTGATATCCTAACCGTAGCCATCCAAACACTCGGATTAAGTACATGGCAGTCAGCTGTAGGTGACAGTCCTGTGTTCAGGACTGAAACTCCTCTTGGGATACATGTAAAGTGGCCCTCTTTCGTTCCCACTTAACTGCTCGTTTTCCAGCGCCGAGCTAGAAGACCACTCGCAGCTATGATACTCACTGTCTTTGAGATTTACTCGAGAAGTCCATCGTCAGTGGTTGTTCAGACGAATTACGAACGCGGAACAGACCGGTCGACCAAATGAAGACCAGTTTGAAATCCGAAGTACTGCAAATGTGGCGTTTGACTGCGCACGTCCTCAGCCAGAGCCATGGCTAATTTCATTTTGGGCCTCAGTGGTCTAACAACATGGAGAAAAGGGTAGCTAAATACTCCTCGTCTGGCTAGCGAATTTATTATGTTCTCCAGCTGAATATGCTGTTTCAGTTAGCATGATCAAGAGATCGACGTGTGTTTTCTCGGTATGACAAGTTAATTATGTTGTTGTGAAAACACTACTGGTTTCGCCCCTTTTGAGACACCACGTAGTTTCCATCGATTCTAAGTTTTGCTTGCTCCAAGATCGTGCGCATTTGGTGAAGTGCAATCACTCGCAAATTAAATCGGTGGCAATGGGAGGCTCGGTTGGATATCTTGTTTATGGTATTGGCCAGCTGAACATGCTGCACACAGGCCGCTTTATGTTTCAGTTAGCACGGCAACTGAGATATTCCATTGTTTTTTCTTGACTTCGACTTCAGTTTGACTTGAGAATCCAGATAAACGAGATCGTTGCGTAAGAAACCCCTTGGGCGCTCAATATGATATTACCCTGAGAAATAAACCACGTTGCTCGAAAGAGCCTGAGATATAAATTTCTTTCATCGCTTTGATTACCGATTTAAATGACCCACCTTTTTGGTTTCATCAGTGAAAACCTTTGAGGAGGCTCTGACACTCAGTTTTTGAGGTATGTATTTTAGAGACTTAAGGACGCACTTGTAAAGTAAATTCTTCAAATCTTGTGTTGAGACTTAGTCATATGAAACCATCGAACGATTGTGTCGGTCAAAATATTGCACAACAACGGTTAGGAATCCTCTGCTTCCTCTTTCTCCCTAGTTGTTGGAAGCAATAAACGCTACATTCTTCGTCCGTTTTCGGGTCAACGGTGTATTCCCGGCCTACAAGAGTTTTTAAGTGAAAGGGTCGTGAGAAATCCAGATATCCATAGATTTGAGGTATCTAGAGACTTTAAACTACAAAGAGACTGCAACATTACGGATGAGAACCAAGTTGGCGGCTTTTTGTGAAATGAAGTAGCGCCTATCGGCACTTCACCACACATCCTAAATGGTGCGATCACTCAGAAAGCAGTTGATCATAAACAAGTAGTGGGACACGACAAACGGGTCTTTCGAATTGTAGAACAACCTTCCAATTGGTCTGTCTTCAGAACTCTGAAAGTATAAAAATGCCCTGACCATCGCTTGATTGTTATCGTAGATGACAGTTGTGCGTTAATCCGTATATCACAATTAGTTTACGACACTAGATGGTTATTCCCAGTATGGTCAGTTTTACGTATTCAGTCACTGTTGTTTACCACTACGTCTCTTCAGTCTGACCATTCACGTTCTCCCTGAAATTCTCTGGACTTCACAATTCACAATTGACAAGTAGTTGACATACTGTACGCATTTTACCGTTGTGGGTTAGCTTCCGCACCTAGCAAGAGGGTAAATGGCACAAAAGTGAGTGAACGGCGGTTTCTTTCCTGAAAATATCACTCTGTCCCTTTGTCTGATTTTGGATTTCAGAAAGAGGGCTTCCTGTTTTATCCCGAAATAATCCATGACCCCTTTTAGTAACTAACATTTGCCATCATAACAGAAGTTGTTCAGTCAATCAGGCCCCACTCGGTGCGCCATTTGATCACTGCAACTCTTTGTTTGTACAAACTCTAGGTGAATAACCGTCTTCTCGGAATTATCTTTCCCCTGCTACAAAGTTTCTACAGTGCCTTTTATTGACCATTGAAATTAGGTTTCCATAAGGGTGGGTTCATGAATGGACCATGAGGACCTGCAGGGATGGGGTTGGAATCTCATTCACGTAACTGGAGCCAGGAATGCATCACCATGGATTGCTATGACTCTCCAGAAGATAAATCAATTGTTGTATTCGCTATTTACAGTGATACTTTAGAAAACACGACTGCCGATTCATTTCATGATTATTGG